CACTCCACTCCTTGTAGGATGAGTATTTTGAAGTTGATAATTCAGCAGTTAAACATGATGGATTTTATGTCAACAGAGGAAAGTTGGAGCGGATGTGAGTTTCTTTCCTCTTTTCATTTACTTCAACATAACCCTGAGATGGTATGGTTATTTTGTATTTAGTAGATGGTCTTGTTATTTTTTTATGTAGTGAGATCATGTTTGAAATAGGCAATGCGTGTCATAAGTATGACTCCATAAATATGAAATCACCTTGCTCTTTCCTTCTTCTTTGGATATCTGTAATTTCTCCTAAGGGTAGAAATGTAGTAGGGACCTTAGGGTTGGCAGTCTTGGTATTGTAATGTCCTTCCTTTCAAATTTTCAGACAAATGCCTCTTATATAGATGTAGGTTCTGTTTTTCTATAAAACTTTCATGTAAACATGCTATTTTTCTACCTGCTATTGAATCCCTGATTACCTTTTACAATAGGGAACCTTCGACAACATCTGACAAGCAACAAAAAAAAAGGCGACGGAAAGATTCAGCAAATTCCCATGGTGATGGGGTTGACGTAAATAAACAAACCAAGTTATCTATAACAGCTAGGCGAAAGGTAGCACCACTTCTTGCAAATAACTACTGAATCCTTTTTCAAAGCTTGGATCCAATGACTGATTATGTGATTGTGAAATTCCAGGTTCAATCAACTGCTTTTGGGTCCTCTTTAAAGAGAAAGTATAATGTTGCAAGGAAAACACAGGAGTCCCCTTTGCCTTTTGGATCACAAAATGCGAATGCGTCATTGTCTCTGGACAATGTTAAAAATTCTGATAAAGCAAATTATCAGTCTAGGAATGCCACAAGTCACAAGTCAAAGGAAGCTGGAGACTCTAGTGCCCTTGTAGTCCGTAATAAAGAAAACAATAGCACACTTGACCTGGCAAATGCAACAGGAAGCAGGCAATCCATTCAAGCAACAGTAAGTACATTTCAACTGTGTCTTAAGTTCATAAAATTCTCTCAGTTTAGTTGGTCTGGATTCCGAGGTAAACATGTTTTTTTTGGGGTCTGTCATCTTTTACATCCCAAGAATGATTTCTCTGATCTTTGGGACTCTATAATGATCTGTAATTGGAAAGACAATTTCGAGATTAGATGGTAATGGTATTTATGAGCCATGTTAGTATATGGCTGGCATCCATGGCTGTTGTAGTAGTTTTCTTGCTCTAGATTTCATCTCACTTCTCAATTAATTTTCTGTTAATCTTTTCTTCCATGCATTTTACCTCGGATTGCTTTATAATTCTGCAATAGTCTGTATCTACTCAGAAAAAAGATGGTTCTAATGTGAAGTCTAGAACCTCGACCCTAGAGAAAGCCATAAGGGAATTGGAGAAGGTGGTTGCTGAATGTGAGTTTCAATCTTTTCAGGCACTTATTTTCTACATGGAGGGTCAACTAGAATAGCATTGTGTGACTCTAACCTTATAATAATTTGTGTGAATATTTCAGCAAAGCCTCCTGCTGCCACTGAGAATCAAGAAGCTGATACCTCCTCCCAGGCAGTTAAGAGGAGATTGCCAAGAGAAGTAAAATTTAATCTTGCTAAAGTTGCTAGGATTGCGGTACTACAGCTTTTCTATTTGTTCGTTTCATTTTGTTGAAACTTGAAATGGTATGAGAAACACTAGAATGCTCTTGTGGCAGCAGGCAAGCCAGGGAAAACTCTCGGCAGAGTTAATCAACCGTCTTATGAGCATTGTTGGTCACTTTATACAGCTTAGGTCACTTAAGGTAAAAATTTCTGTTAGTGGAACAGAGTTGTTTAGATTTCTTCCAAGGCCTTTAAATAGTTAGACTTGTTCAGGTTCCAATCAAAATATGGGTTTCTTAGAGGAGCTAAAAGTCTTACTGTTTGTAATGCTTATTGTTGCAGAGGAACTTGAAAATCATGATTGATATGGGCGATTCTGCAAACCGAGAAAAAGATAATAGGTTCCAGCGAATTAATAATGAAGTTCTTGAGATGATAAAAGCTAAGATTTCTTTGATGGAACCACAGGTTCTCTCTCTCTTCTTGTGTAATAGTTGCTTTGAATATGCATTTCTCTCATCCATTGGTTTCCTATATTATTACGTTCGTGAAAGTATCATTACTTTTATGAAATCTGGAGTTCTCTTTGATAATGGTTTCCCATAGATTAAGCTCCTCATTCTTCTGTTTTTAGTGTTCACTGCGAGTCAATCTGCTCTTTGTACAGTGTTTCTTGCTCTCATAATTTTTGTTCCACAGGCAACCAAACAAGAAGTTGGAAGTTCCGATGATTTTCAGGACTCTGTAGAAAAGCCATCTTTAAAGAAATTTGTCATGGATGTGGCACTGGAGGATAAATTGTGTGACCTATATGACATCTTTGTTGATGTAATTATGATTTACTTTTGATAATCTGCAACGCCAATTCTTATAGACCTAGAACTAGTGTCAACACATTTTTGTTCCTGTTTTTTGGTATACCAGGGATTGGATGGAGATCCAGGTCCAGAAATAAGAAAGCTGTATGCCAATGTAAGTTCTTTTTCATTTCCCATATGCTTATTTCATTTGCTTCCAAGCTTTTCTCATGACTTAAATCACTTATTTCTTAGACCCAACAAAAACTTCAAGGTGTTTTATTAGAACGTCATGAATATTGTTTTGGATTTATCATGCTCCAGCTAGCTGAACTCTGGCCAAATAGATTAATGGATAATCATGGGATCAAGCGTGCGATCTGCCGGGCAAAGGAGAGGCAGAGAGCTTCGTATGGGAATCTTGGCAAAGAGATGGTACTACTTTAAAGAATGTTGTCAGCTTTTTCCTCAAGCTTTAGCATTTTCTCCATTTATTTTGTTTGATCATATTCTGCTTTATTAAAGGATCAAACGACGATGAAGAAGAGGAGGAAGCAGTTGGTACCAAGAACAGACTGGACTGCTCAGCCCAACGCAAATTCAGTTTTTCAGAGACAACACAATGGAGAGAAAATGACTGTTGATGCAAACGCAACCAGCACTTCCCTTATCTCCACTCAAACTATGGCTGATACTTCTTGTGACAGATCAAATCAGCAGCATGAGAAACTAAAGGGAAGCTCAAGCACTTGCAATCCGGGGGAAGAAACAAGAGTGGTCAAGAGAAAGGCAGAGCCAGTAATGGCAGAGAAACAAGTCGTTCTGGCTCTGCAGAGGCAGGAACATCCACAGGCACGTGTTATCGCAGCTCCTCATAATCCGAACATCCCAGAGACTCCTCTGGATCTGAACCTGCCAAGTTGAGTTTCACGAAGATTGTCTTAAAAAGACAGAGATATACCTGAGACAACAACAACCTCCCCCAGCTCTCTCTCTCTATCTTTATCAGGTTGCATTGCATTAGTTCCAGTTAAAGCCTCGTTTATAAATGTTGTCTGTGTTTAAATTTGCCGATACGTAGTAACTTACATCTCTACGTGTCTTACCTATCTATGTACCAGATCAAAGTCTAGTGTATAAAGTTGCGATTTGAAGAACAACTCTTTTTTACTATTGCTCTTTGTGTAAAATGTTGAAAACTAGATAGAGCATATCCGGACCTCCAAAATTTACCTGGTAAAAAAACTGATGTAAAATTTATGAATTACATTAAATGACAAAATTTCAAACTGAATTGATATGTTAATCCTTTCAAAATATTAAAAAATAACGAACAAACTAGCAAATTGAATTTGAAGAGGAAAACAATGTGAAGAAGTAGGACAACTTCCAAATACACGAGTTATTTTTTAGATCTCATTAAATCGACCAAAAACAAAAAAAAA